ATTTTTTTTTCCTGTGAGCACTGCTGCTAAAGAGACATTCTTAATTTTAAATAAGAATTTTATACAATATTTATGCATGCCTCCTTATTAGTGTGAACAATTTTTCCACTTAATGCTGGTAAAATGTATGAAAATGACAGTAAAAGCAGTCATTTCTGTTGGTGCAACGTCAGAGAAAAATTCATTGTTCTTTTAAATAAACATGCCATAAAGAAGCTCTTTTTATTTGGATATTGAACTTAAAATCTTTCAGGGCAATGAGTTCTTATGAATTGTGTATAATTTATCAGTTTTATTTAAAAGATACAGAACTTGGAATGACTCTGCAAACCTCCTCAGTTTCCATCATCCCTCTGCCATCTACGTACTGGATAAATCTTAACAGGTTCTATAAATGGAGCAATAACACCCAGGAGAATATGGCTTACCTATTCATGCCAAGTGTGTTGCATTGCTAGCAGTCATAGGAGAAAAACAGATTCAGGATTGGAGGAAATCTTAAGACAATAACTCTCATATGTGGGCTGGACCTTCCTTTTTATCACTGGGGTATATATTATTTTAAGATTCATGTTTCTGCCCCTGTACACAAAATTTATGGGCATGGAGCCTGGAAATCTACATTTTGAACTTGCTACCAGATGATTCCTAAATACATTTATTTAAGATCTTAAACAATTATTATTTAAATCAAGAATGAGTGTGATGATTACTCTTGGAAAAGTACACTTCATTATGCCCGCTGACATTACTCATTCTACTCCCACAATATAAGCTAACACCAGGAAGACAAGGCAAACAATGGAAATGCAGAGTATGGTATAATATTTGTTATTCAAAATGAGTTTTAAATTATTCTGCCTATTTGTTAGTATTATACCACTCCAGTAAGTAGCTATATTTTGTCCTCAGATAAGAACTTTGTATTACTTTTGTAACTTAATGATATCTACAAAGGAGATCTCAGGGATATTACAAAATTATAAGTTGGAGCATTTGGGTGGCTCAGTCGGTGTTGACTCTTGGTTTTGGCTCAGGTCATGATTTACAGTTGGTGCATTTGAGACCCACACTGAGCTCTGTGCTGATAGCAAGGAGCCTGCTTGGGATTCTATCTCTCCCCTCTTCTTTCTGCCACTCTCCCATTCACACACATGCACACACACACACTCTCTGTCTCTCAAAATAAATAAATAAACTTAAAAAAACTTTAAGTTATTTCTGGGATAAGTGATTGCTATATGTTATAATGAAAAACAATGATTTAAATTTTATAAAATGAACAAAGGAGCCAAATGCTCTTTATTGTTCCTTTACTATTAATCTAAAATTATGTTTTTTTTAATTTTTAAAAATTTTTGATGTTTCTTATTTTTTTCGAGAGAGAGGGAGAGAGAGTGTGAGTGAAGAAGGGGCAGAGAGAGAGGGAGACACAGAATCCAAAGCAGGCTCTGGGCTCTGAGCTGTCAGCACAGACCCCAACGTGGGGCTTGCAGACCACAAGATCATGACCTGAGGTGAAGTCAGACGCCTAACTGACTGAGCCAGCTAGGAGCCCCTAATCTAAAATTATGTTAATGAATTCAGAGGAATAAAAGAAAAATCTTATCCTTGAGGATTTATATTTTTGTAGAAGAGCTAGGTGAAAGACAAGAATCCGAGACTTTTAGTTTATTTCCTATAGGCATGATTCAGTTTCATGCCTGAAATCTTGAAATTTTTAACAAACTTAGGACATGCTTTTAAATCCAACACAAATGTGAGAAATAAAGGCAAAACATTTCATTGTGGAATGATATTTCCTTTAGAATTTGAATAGGGTACAAGTGGAACTGTTAAATTTTACCAATTTAAAATGTGAGAGACTTGTCTATTACAATGATACCAAGTTCACCTTTCACAGGCTATTGGGGAGACAGCCAGTTTTCTTCTCCTTACTGAATGAAGAGAATCTAAGCTAAAGTAGGGAATTCTTATCCAGGATTCCAAATTTAGTGCCCTCAACTTTTTTGGGTACTGATTTGTTTATTTAATCTGGGTCACATTGGTATTTCTACTTCGATTTATTCAATGAAATGGTAATAAATAGCCAATATACTTCCTACTGTTAAAATGTAGTACTACTTTGATATGAACAAAATTGAAGATAGGGCAATAGCTAGATCTTTTCAGTATAATAACACCACAATAATGAATTCTTAGTATTTTGTTATTAATTGTTATTATCATAAAAGGAAAAAAATATATTAGGGAAAAGTGATTGGCCCCTCTTCTCTTCTTCCTATTGTTATGTACATTAGTACTTCATATTCTGATATTCTGAGTTCATTGACAGAAAATTTCTATTTTTTTCATGGATTATTTTTAGGTTCAATGTTTACAAGAGAAGTTGATCTTGATAATTGTTAAAAACAGTGTTTGGGATTATGAGATGAAGTAAAGACTTTCTTTGTCAAAGAAGTCAGCACTAGGGTGTTGATATGAATTATAATGACGCCATGAGTTTGAAAGCACCTGGCTCTTATATGAGCACTGTCTCTAAAATATTATATATTTTATGTTTATGAGCTTATATATATGCAGTGTTATAATATGCTAAAATATAAACATTTATAATTTATACTCACACACACTCAAATTATAAAGCTACAGCACTATGCCTTCCTATAGATACCCTAAGATAGATGATCTATTCTTCGTGTAAGAGTTCTCTTGGAGAATCTGGCACTAGCTCTGGAATCACCCCTACATCTCTAACTTTTATCATACATGTCCAGACAGCTTCAGTTCACTCAGTAGAATATCCAAACATTGGATAGTCACAATTTTACTGCAATTATACATTGAATTTCATAACTAGAAACAGACAACCAGACTTCTTCACAGGAAACCAAACACAAACTTTGTGACTCTATATTCTTCCTTATTCCAAACCCCATGTTTTCAAAATGATAAGAATTTATTATGGCTCCAGTCACTTCAGAAGGATAGACTTCTTAACCATTTCTCAATTTTTGGCATTCAGTTGGTAATACTTTCCTAATTTACCTTCTCTACTGATTTAAGGACTGAAGAAAGAGTAGGGACAACTTCATAAAATATGCACAGTGCAGCCTAAATAGAATGCTTGTGGCTAAACGACATTTGACACTATTTGCAAGGCTAGCAATTTTAGAGCAAATGCTGGAGATTAACCTGCTCTTCTAAAGGAAGAGACAAATTGTTCTCATACCATTGATTATAAAAAAGTGTTCCAAAAAAGAAGAAGAAAATGAATGCCTACTTGACTTGTCAGACATGAAAAGAATCTTGGGCTTTGCAACTAAGAGTATAATTGTCTTGTCTGCAGATTGATATGAATCTTAAACTTGGCTCTTTCACTGATAGTGAGTGAGCCTTGGTCAAATGACTTAGCCTCTCAAAGCTTTAGCATCTTCACCTATTAAGTGGATTAATCTACTCAAAATGTATTTAACCAGATTGTACTCTGCCCAAGACCTGCCAAGCACATGGTGATGGCATCTACTTTATAAAACTGTTGCAAAGATTAAAAGAGATGATGGAAGTTGTGTTTTTAGAATAGCACTGGGATATAAAAATGAACTCAATAAATGTTCATTACAATATTTGGTTGACTATTCTTTTTGTTATTATTAGGTAATTTTTAAAAAAATGAATCATGCTTATCACATAAAAAGCTTAATATAGCCAATTCCCTAGAAATTAAAAACAGGTTTAGTGATGATTTTTGGATTTGACATAAAAAAATAAAGACAATAAAAGCAAAAATAAACAAGCGGGACTGCTTCAAACTTAACACTGCTACACAGCAAAGGGAACTACCAACAAAATAAAAAGGGAACCTACTGAATGGAAGAAAATATTTGAAAATGATATATATGAAAGAGGGTTTATAGTCAAACTATAGAAGAAATCACACACAACAGGAAGATTAAAAATTAAAAAGTGAGGGGCGCCTGGGTGGCTCAGTCGGTTAAGTGTCCAACTTCAGCTCAAGTCATGATCTCACAGTTCATGGGTCCAAGCCCCGTGTCACGCTCTGTGCTCATAGCTCAGAGCTTGGAGCCTGCTTCAGATCCTGTCTTCCTCTCTCTCTCTGCCCCTTCCTGCGTGTGCTCTGTCTCTTGAAAATAAAGGTTAACAAAAATTTTTAAAAAATTAATAAAGTGGGCAGAGGAAGGGTGCTTGGGTGGCTCAACCAATTAAGCATCTGACTTTGGCTCAGGTCAAGATCTCACAGTTTGTGAGTTGAAGCCCTACAGAGGGCTGTCTGCTGTCCCACAGAGGACTGTCTGCTGTCAGCACCAAGTCTGCTTCATATCTCCTGTTCCCCTTTCTCTCTGCCTCTCCTCCACGTGTTCTCTCTCTCTCTCCCTCAAATAAGAAACAATGAATAAACATTTCTTAAAAAGTGGGCAGAGGATTTAAATAGACATTTTCCCAAGAAGACATACAGATGTTGAACAGGTACATGGAAAATGCTGAACATCACCAATCATCAGGGAAATGCAAATTAAAACCACAATGAGCTATCACCTGACATCTGTTAGAATGGCTATTTTCAAATAGATTAAATATACACTTGATCTTAGCCAAAAGGCCGAGAAGCAATTCAAATAGATTAAATATAATAAGTGTTGGTGAAGATGTAGAGAAAGGGAACATTTGAGCACTCCTGGTGGCAATGCAAATTGAGGTAACCACAATGGAAAATAGTATGGAAGTTTTTCAAAAAATTAAAAATAAGGTATTATATGATCCATCAATTTCACTGCTAGGCATTTATCCAAAGAAATGAAAAACACTAATTCAAAAAGATATGTGCACCCCTGTTGTTCATTGCAGCATATTTATAATATAGCCAAGATATAGAAACATATATACATAGATATTACTATGTGATATATGTATATATGTATGAATATTATATGAGATATTTTTAATAAAAATTATTCAGTTTTAAAAAAGAATGAAATCTAGTGCTGTCTTTGGCAGTACATATATTAAGATTATAATGATACAGAGAAGATTAGCATGTCCCCATGCAAGGATGACACAAAATTCATGGAGCATTCTACAGTTAAAAAAAAAAAAAAACAAAAAACAATGACATCTTGACATTTGTGGAAACATAGATGGACCTTGAAGACATTATGTTAAATGAAATAAGACAGAGAAGGACAAATACTATGTAATCTCAGTTACATATGGAAACGAAAACAAAAACAAAAACAAAACACAAAATGCACCCCTCCAAACTTCTAGTTAGATACAAAGAACAGACTGGTTATAGACAAAAGTGGAAAGTTGGAGGTTGGCCAAATGGGTATAAGGAGTCAAAAAGTACAAACCTGTCACTAAAAAAAAAAAAAAAAAAAAAAGACTTTTTTTTTTTTTTAAAGTGATTGTACTACTTTCTACTTCAACCAGTAAGTAGTCTATGTCAATTCTAGTTGCTTCACATTCTCTCCAACACTTGGTACTGTAGCCAATATAATGGAGGTGTTTTGGCATCTCATTTGGTTTAATTGTTATTTCTCTGATGACTAATGATGTTAAACATATTTCCATTTGCTCTTTGGCCATTCATATGCCTTTTTCTGTGAAATAGTTATTCCAGTCTTTTGCCCATGTTTTAATTGGGTTATTTGTATTCTTAACACTGAGTTGTAGAAATGTTTTATAAATTCTGAGTACAAGTCTTTTGTCAATAAATATAAACAGTTTCTCATGGTCTATGGCTTTAAATTTCATTTTTATGTGTCATCTTCTAAAGAATAGACTTTAATTTGAATGAAGTCCAACTTATCAAGGTTTCTTTCATGCATACTGCTTTCTGTTTTTTACTTTTTGTTTTCTGGGAAATCTTTTGCCAGACCAGGGTTGTACAGATTTTCTCCTTTATTTTAATATACAAGGCTTATAATTTAACTTGTACATTTGATATGCTAACATTTAAACTTTCATTAATTCCTTTTGAGAATATAATCTGTTCTGTGATTGAAGAAGCTTGAGAATACAGATTCTTTTTTAGAGAATATAGGAGTACCACTAACAACATGAACTATCAGTTCATGATAATATAGAATCCTCACTGGTCATTCTATCACTCATCTATTACCACTACTACTCTTATGAAATAAAACACCCTCAAACTCAGTGGCTTAAGCAAAACTCATAGATTCTTGCTCATGTCTGGTGTTTCTGGAGGTCAGGTGCTCTAGAATGGGTTTGTCTGGGCTTGACTCCAAGCAAAAGATGGGGTCCTCTATATTTCTGTCATCCTTCTTAGGTCAGCACCATACTGATGAAAATGTTCTTCTCATGACAATGACAGAAGGCAAGAAAGAAAGCCCAACTACACAAGTACATGTCAAGCTACTTACTTCTTCACAGCTGCAAACATACCTTTAGCCAAAGTAAGTCTCATGACTGAGTCCAAAGTCAAGAAAAAGAAGAACATTCTGCTTCTACTAAAAATTAACTGAAAAGTAACATAGCTAGAATGTAGACACAGGTAGGATGAGATATTAATATCAATGATTTAATTTTCCATGATCATTTATGAAACCATTAAAAAAAACAACTAATATTATAAAATAAATAAAAATATACTTAAAATATATTTTTCTGCCTTTTTAGTACAAATTGTTAATCAAAATATTCAGAGTTGATGGAGAATGGGTATCTTCAACTAATAAAAGAAGAAATGATAAAATCAGAATATTAACATTCTTAAATATTTTAGAAGTATATTATCACCATTTCCTACCTATAATGAAATAATATATTGGTCCATTGTCATGATTGCTTGATAAAGGATATTATGAGAAAAGCTTATGGAACAAGGAAAATAATAATAGTAGAGTTATAAAGAAAACATTAATGGCCAACTTAAATAGACTCCCAGAAGTCAAAGGTGATAAAATTTGAGCATTGACAAGCATAATAACATCAAATGATGTAATGAATTTCATGAACAAATTCATCAAAATATTTAAACACAGATTATAAAGATGTTGAACATAAGCAAAACTTAAACAAGCAAAAATTACACACTGTTGATGTTATGATGATAGAAATTAATTCATTTTTTAAACATAAGAAAGAGAAGAAATAAGCATTTGTCCAGATTTTCCTATATGAACTGTAATTCATGGTAACCAAATAGTTGGTAAGAGAAAGTCTCTCTTTATATGAGTATTTCAGTTACTAAATTCGTGAATATTGAATGAATTAGAATATTGCTATTCTACAAAAGCTAATCAAGCAACAGACTTAAGCAATGATCATCAAATGCTAACATGACTCAAAAAAAGACAAACAACTTTTACATATCTCTTGAACAAAATATATAATATCACCTATAAATTAGTATTTCAAAACTGTCTAACTTTAATCTCATCAAATCTCTAGATCTCACCTCTGATTCATATGAAATGAAGAGGAGACAGAAACATGTTACGTTAAACCATGGATGCCATCTGCAAAACCTAGAGTATAGGGAACTGTAAGGTAGAAACTGGTCGGAACAAATAAGATTGTCCATGAATTGATGACTACTAGAGTGAAGGAACACAGAGGTTTTTAATCTTATTTTAGCATATATCTGAATTTAAATAATAGTTTTTTTCTTAAAATAAAGTAAGTCACTGAGCTTTTTTTTTTTTTTTTTAAAGCCAGGTGTGATTTGAACAGATAGAATGTCTTATTTTGGGGATGGAGAATCTGAGTTATCCTTTAAGCTGCCTGACAAAAGAACCAAAGAGATAGTGGCTAGTGCACAGTTTCTAAGTTATGGCTCCCTTCCGAACACTAATATCAGAATACCTGATACCAAGGACATTGAGAATGTAATACGGGTGCTAAAACTAGAGAGGGTGCTAGTTTCCAAGATTCAGAAGTTAAGCTTTGATCCAGAGCAGTAACTAAAATTCCTAGGTAATTGAACAATTTAAAAAATCACTCATGTAGCCATATTCATGCATTAGACTAAATATGTTTCCTGTATCCAAAAATCAAACATCCTGAATTCTCTATAAAAGACTTATGACAGTATGTTGTCATGAACAATTGTATATCTCATAATAAGAAATTCTTGCTGATGTGAGACAGTTAATGAATTACCACCAATATTTCAAGAAGTAAGATGAGGACATGGTGATCCTGAGTCATTTATATTCCTTGTGCATTCATGAGGGCTGGCATTAAATGACAACATTTATTTTGTACCACAAGGCCCTGGTGTGCTAGCACTATCCTCTTCTTTCTCTGATTTTGTCAAGCCTCTTCATGAAAATTATCTAGTAAGAATTTTAATAGTCTGAACAGAGCTGTGTGAGTACTGCTGTTAAGAAGTATTTGCCAGTGCTCTTGTTGTCTTAACTATAGAGGCTCTGATACGCAGATGGAACTTCTGTTTGATTATGTAGCTGATTTCTGAAAACCTGATTTCTACAGTGAAGACATTAGTTCCCAGACATGTGACTTTGAAGTAATGGTATTTACTGACTTTGACTATGCTTTTTAACTGAGGGCAATGTGAAACTTTGGCATCAGAAAGTGTGTTAAGTGTGTTGAATGGTATGTGAAGTCCACAAGTAAAATAGAAATTTCAATTTGGAAAAGAAAGTAATTGAGGACATAGTCCAAGGTTAGGGAGATGAATGGACACAGAGAGAAACAGAGAAAAGGAGAGAAATATAAAGATAGAGAGATGTGGAGCAGAGGAGGAATGATGCAGAGCACATAAAGAAATGCATGAATGGAAGTGCTCCCTTATATCATCCAAGGTTGACAGTGTGCTCATTGAACTGGTCTTGGGTTGGTGAAGTTGGTCAAAATTTAACTATTGTTACTTTCAGGAAGGAAATCTATAAGTAATTGATACTAGTACTAAAAGACTTAAGAATATGTCTTTCCTGTACCTCCTCTTAGGTTTATTCCTAGAGCAAGAATGTTCTTACATACAGCCAGATGGATTATTGGTCTGGCTCTGTATGTCAGCTCCCGTGCTGACACTTAAAAGCTATAAAGATAGGACATAAAACATAAAACATAAATGCCCCAGAAAAAAGCATCAGAGAGAAATCTGAATTACAGGTTTTGCTCAGCCATGACTCTTATTATTAACCATGCTATTCTATATCTTGACATTCATGAAATGGCTCTGCATTTGGAGGCCAATTAGCAAATGGGCAGAGCTGCTTGGAAGATTGAATCATTCACCAGCTATCACACTGAAAACATACAATGTGTTACATGAAAACATATATATATAATATATAAACATATATATATTATATATATATACTTATTTTTATATTTACATTTATATCTATATAAATCTCTCAAACAGAAAGATTTACACCTAGCAGTACTCAAGGTTTAAGGTTTAGGATACAGCAGAATTATTTGGGGAAGAAGATTAAAAATACAGATTCCTGGTCTCCACTCTTAGAAACTTCCAATTATTAGATAGAAGAGCACACTGTTAGTGAACAGTCCAGTTGGTTTCAATACATCTAGTTCATAACACTAATGAACTGACATAGTATGAAAAGAGGTAGAAGTTAGAAAGTCTACATTTAGTCTTCATGAGATTATAAGAAAATATTAAGACTCTCATGGTAAGAGGTATGTACATTTATAAGCACATAGGTCTACATTATAAAATCACATGCAATGTACTTTTCTTCAGATTTTTAAATGTAAAATAGCTTAAATGGTAAATTTCCTACAAGGCATATACATTTAAGCTCCAGATCGACTAGGCATGGGATTCATCAATTACTAACATTTCTAGAATACCGAATATATTCTACTTTAATTCCAAACTGCCCAACTTAATAAAAGTTACATAGCTGTGAAAGCCCCGCAAAAACATAAAAACACATAAAAATGCCACATTGCAGGGGAGACAGGTATTGTATTGAATATAACCAGGCATGGTTTCTGGCAACTTTTCTTTTTCTTTTTCTTTTGTTTTCCCTTCTCTTCTCTTCTTGTCTCCTTTTCTTTTCTTTTTTTTTTCTTTTTTTTTTTTTTATAACCATGAGAAAACTTTGCTCTGTCAAGAGAGATAT